ACAACAACATGAAATGATGATGCCTGGTTGAATTGGTCTAGCTGCATAAATTTATTATAGTTTGATGAATGGTAAATCCTATTGCAGGAGGGTAAAGGTGCTGTATCTAGAAGGATGTTCGTTGGTGACGACAGAAGGCCTCGAGTCTGTGCTTCTAAGCTGGAATGAGATTGAAAATGTTAAGATAGAGTCATGCAAGAATGTACACGACGCTGCCATTTCTCCTGAGCTTTCGAACTTGTTCTCTGGTCTCAAACAACTTAGATGGAGACCAGATTCCAAATTAGTCCTTGCTGCAGGTCTTACGGGCACTGGCATCGGAGAGAGGGGCCGGAAGTTCTTCAAGAAATCATGACACTTTAGTAACTCATCTTACTCGGTGTCGGTGTATATTCCATGACTGAGATGGCTATTGTAACTTGCAGAGGAGGGCCTTTTCTCAAGAGCAAGTTTTCAAATTCTACGTGAGAGTTTTAGCCTTCCTTTCCATGGATGGACTACAGATTAGTATAGGAATGCTACCCTTCTCCATAATGGGGATACATTGCGAAGAGAAGAACAGAACGCTGTCTACAAAATATATATATTTAAGTCCCTTTCTTCCATTTTGTAAGTTAGACCCACATTGACAGCAGAAAGACTTCTGTAATCTGTGGTAGGCATCAGCTTATGTACTTTCCTCATTCATCGTACTGTGAATATTTGTAGCAATTATCAATAAACTATTCTAGTTCTTCTGCAAGTTAATGAAGTTTACAAAGTTTCCTTTCGATTCTGTTCTTTATATTGCTTTCGATTTTGTTAGATTTGGTTTGCGTGAAAGAGGGAGGTGGGGTTTTCCGCTCTTTCGTTTGATCTTGGTTTCCCAACCTGTTGCTTCTAATTCTAAAGGGTTTTCTTTGAAACAAGAAAACTCCAGCTATCTCCTTCACGCAAACCCTGTCTAACAAGATTGAAGCAATTCGAGGACAGATATATTGGAGATGTAAGAGTTGCAATTTAAGTACTAAACAACATCGATAGTGGAGACGTGAGAGTAATGTAAAGCTTGCATGATGCGCATTGCATTGCTCTGTGGTTTGTATGTAAAGTATAACCATACACTCATAAAAAGGAAGACTTGTTTATTAGATTGTGTTGGACACAGTAGTTGAGCGGATTTGGGCTTTGAGGTCCAAGGAGAGGAAGTCAGTTGGCCCGCCCAACGGGGCAACCGGCTCAGTAAGAGGGTTCGCGATGTGCGGTCCATACAGGACGAATGTGTTAGGCATTTCTATCTCATGCGAGGATAGCTAGGCCGCTTGACATAAAGTGTTGATGGTGATAAGACCTGCTAGGATATGTACCTCGATTTGAGTAAGACTAAACATTAATTAACTGCTGTAGGCGGTCTATGTAGTGTAAGACGTATTAGGAGCGCATGACATGACATTTAATGTCCGAAACATCATCCGAGCAGGTATAAATACACCATAAGAGCATCGATGGTAAACTCAACTACTCCTATATTAAACACATATATTCTACTCTCACTCTAACTTAGACTTCAGAGGGTGTCCTGCGGAACCGCCCACCCTTATTTCGCAGGGATTAGGAGTGCTTCCCAACATCAAGAATAGGCGCCTCGCTCATGCTTCCTAAACCGCCTAGTATCTTCTAGGCACAAACAGATTGCATGATAAACATTGCATGTTGTCATTAGTATTGGACTACTTTTAGCTTGGATAGAAGAAATTAATAGGGTTGATTGGGTGGAATTCTAATTTACTTGCTTATTAACGAATTAATACAATTGCGACTCACTATCTATCTATGTTTTTTTTGGGTTGGGTTGCATGGTCGATGGTTGAATGCAGTTGGATTGTAGGTTAATCCACAAAAGCAATTTTCCAACTGGTCAACATACAAGTTGACTATAATTTATATTAAATTCTTTGCAAATTAGGAAGACACTACCAATTTACACACTTCCCACTTTGCCTACTGTGAATATATCTAGTACTTGTGACATGTAAAGTTCTTTTGTAACTCATACCAACTTTTCAGCTAATCACTTTAAATGAAAGTATTTGTTGATAAAGAAAATAAAGTCATTAACCACATATTCCTGGAGACCAAGGCTCTATGTGTGTGTGGATTTCGATGTTTTGGCAAAGGTCTCCAATATTTCGTTACTCCATCAATCAATTGTGTAGAGAAAATTGACGTTCTTTAAGATGATGATACAATTATCACTTTATAGTTTACATCCCAATATCAAATTGACATTACACAAAATAGTAACCAATAGTAGTAGTATGATTTATTTTTCGTCATTAGATTTGATGGCCAGTTGCATGTGGCACGGTTAGGAAATATGATGAATATTCGACAATATAAACAAGAAATAATTCGTTGTCATGTGACAGTGGAATGTTGGCCATTTGGGTGACCCACAACTCACCCACCACTCACCCAATTAAGTGGGTGTAGAAAATTTTGGGGCTTGTTTGCTTGATGGATTTGGTGAAAGATTTGGTGATGAATTTGGATTCATGATGGACTTTGTCCAAAATCCATTGTTTTTTTCAAGTATTTGGAGGTAACAAATCTGTGGGACCCCTAGACTTTGAGGGTCCAAATCCGTAGGCCCTACGGACATGAAAATCTCACTTCTTTAGGGCCTCGTTTGCTTCATGGATTTGGTACTTAAAAACCAATCATCATGGACTTTGTACACAATCCGTCGTTTGCTTGATGGATTTAGGAGGAATAAATCTGTGGGCTCTACGGACTTTGAGGGTCCAAATCCGTGGACCCCACGGACTTGAGAATTCCACCCCAAGAAGTGGGATTTATGTTGGGAGTACAAAGTCCATGATGACTTTTTACAATTTTAACCCTACTTATTTCACTAATCACCTTCTCATCCTCTTTCATTTACTAATTACCAACTTGAAGTGCATATTAATTTTGCATTCAATATATATTATTATTCATTGCATGAAAGCATTACATGATTAATCGCAAAACATACTTTGTAATATTGAAAACCTTAAAGAATTGTCTAATTGTGTGTATAATATGATGTTGTTATTGATTAATAATGTTCATTTATTCCGATTGTGGTAGTGGGACGAACCTATTGGATGAAACTTGTTTTAAACAAAAATTATAATGCAAATATAAATAATACTCAATAAGGGCACTAAGATAAATTCCTAATACAAGCACAAATATAATAATGCCAAATCCATCATGAAATCCAACAAGCAAACAATGGTTTGTACCAAAAACCAAATGGGTCAATTCCATCATATATCTATGGTTTTGTAAAACCCAGGTTTTAACCAAAACCTTCATTTTTCAAATCCATGAAGCAAACGTACCCAAATAAGGAAAATAAAGGAAAATTACACTTCATACATACAAATTTAATTAACAAAATCCATCATGAAATCCATCAAACAAATAATGGTGTTTATCAAATCCATAATGAACCCAAAACCCTCATATATTCAGGATTTTTCAAAACCCAAATTATACCAAAATCCTCATTGATCCACGAACCACTAGGGATGACAAAAATATCCGTAATCGTGGATATCCACCCGAATTCGACCTAATCGGGTAGGGTAAAACTCGCACCCGAATAACTTTTAGTGGGTCCGGCTAAAACCCGAACCCGAATATTGCGGGTAATGAGTGGGCATGGTTTTCTCACTATCCAACCCGAACCCGCCCGATTATACATATGCATATGTAAATTGTCTAGAAATAATCAATATTTTTCTCTAACATATTTTATATTTAGCATATAAATATAATATTTTTATGAAATTGTGTTATTTTAATTAGTTTTCTTCATTCTAGTGAATTATTGTCGTACTTTTCTTCTTACGTAACGTGAGAATACTCGTGAATATAAACATATTGGTTGGAGTTATAAAGAGAAACTATTACCCATAGATAACCGTGGATACCCGAAACCCGAACATGTATGGGCATGGTTTGGATTTTTTACTCGTTTCTTATGTGGGTATGGGTATGGGTAAAACCCAAACTTCATTGGGTAGGGTAACGGATATGCACTATCCGTCCCCGACCCGACCCATTGCCATCCCTACGAACTACTCACACGGGTAGAAATCCGTACGATATAGGTATTCTAGTACCAGATATCGAAATCACGAACACCAAATAATGTCTTGAACTCCGCAAAGGCTTCTCATCAGCTAGCAATTTCACAAACCATTCTCAAAATATATAAAACAAACAATGATGACATCAAATTGGAAAAATCTCAAGCATATTAACAACGAACAAGAAAAGTGTGATGTTCAAGAAACAAATCAACAAACTAAAACAACAAACTGAAACATGGGACGACTAAACAACCCATAAACATACTTGAAATAACAAAATGAGTTTGATATGAGTTGTCAAATAGTGAGAGAATGAGTTATGTATAGTTAGTGACCATCTTGGTGGGTGATGGTATGATAGTATTGAGTGAGGGAGCCTACTTTTGGAGAGATAAAGTATACACTAGCTTATGTTTCAGTATTGATATGTATTTCTGTGGATACCGATCTGAATTCCATAATCTCTAATACCAAAAAATACTTGAATTTCAATCCCAAGCTCAATCTCAATTACAATCTCAATTCCATGTGTGTTTTCGATAATACCAAATATCGACAAATTCGGTATATTCAAAATACCAATATCAAACTCCCAGCACCACATCAATCACACATCCACCACTACAATTTGAATTATTTACGGATGAATCGATATCACATTGCGAATTACTCACCCACTTCCTCCCCCCTAGAAATAACGATTCCCAAATCCTCAAAACTAATGTTGCACTAAACGGAAGTAGAAGAGTTGACTGGTCTGTTTACGGGTAAATGTTGAGCTGTCATGACGATAATAGAATTAATATAGTGATTGTTTAGTCATTACGCAAAAATTTAGTGATTCACTTGATATTTGATCATCCCAGTCCCAGCCAAGGATAGATTTTGGTGGTGGTGGCCATCGTAGCTTGAGCTTAGAGAACGGTATCTCGGCGGCTCTGCCTAGAAAAACTACACTGCTCGTAGAGCGAACAACCCGAACAGACGCCGCCGTAAGTTCACCTACTTCTACAGAACACAGACCCAGTTGACCCACCAGAGAGCATCGGTAATTGCACACAAGGTGCTTGCGGAAAAGTCCCAGCGGATAGAAATAATGGAAACAGAGGCGACGCGATGCGGCGGGCTGTAAGTTTTGGTGGTTACTAAAAGGCTGAGCTGAACGCAATCGGCGACGAGAAGAGAGAGAGAGAGAAAAAAGGGACCTACATCGGCCGCCGATTAACCTGAAACGAACTATCGAGGATGGCTTCTTTACAAGAGGAGGCACCGACAATTCCGACGAAGAGGAAGGAGAACGGGGTAGATACCTGGTCGGACCTCTGGCTCAAGACCACCGTCACCCAACCTTTGAAACATGGCGTCACGGCTATGCAAGCCCCGTCTCTTTCCGGCGGAACTGTTTCCCCCAGAACTCCAAGCACCGCCACCGCTTCCGAACCAGCTACCCCGACATTCACCGACGCCCAAACCCTAATCTCCAATCCCGCCGACATTGTGGACCGCACCCGCCTCTTGAATGACGAAATCCTCCTCAAGATCCTGTCTTTCTCGCCCGACTCTCAGAGGAAGTCCAACCGCCTCGTTTGCAAGCGCTGGCTCAATGTCCAAGGTCGTCTCTTTGGGTCTCTCAGGATTCTCGATTGGGAGTTCCTAGAATCGGGTCGGTTGACTGCTAGGTTTCCTGATCTCAACGACGTGGATTTGATCAATGGCTGCGTTGTGACCCCAGTGGGTTCCAGTATTTGCTTGCATCATCGGTTTATCTCCGCGCATTTGGACTCTGGAGTTTCTGCCTTTTCGCCCAGTTGGCGACCTTGCGAGGAGAATTTGTTGCCAGCTGATGTTGTGGATAGAGGACTCAGAGTTTTAGCTAATGGGTGCCCCAATCTGCGTCGGCTTGCAGTGCTTGGTGCCAGTGAGCTAGGACTGATAAGCGTGGCTGAAGAATGTCCTACCTTGCAGGAACTGGAGCTGCACCGCTGCAATGACAATGTCCTGCTTGGGATTGCAGCCTGTTCCAATTTGCAGATATTGAAGCTTGTGGGAAACGTGTATGGGCTATATGGTTCAATAGTTTCAGATGTTGGTTTGACGATTCTGGCTCAAGGGTGCAAGAGACTACTGAAGCTTGATCTCACTGGATGCGAGGGTAGCTTTGATGGGATTAAGGCAATAGGGCACTGCTGCCAGATGCTCGAAGAATTGACAGTTTGTGATCATAGGATGGATGATGGGTGGTTGGCTGCTCTTCCTTTCTGTGAAAATTTGAAGACTTTGAGGTTAATGTCTTGTAAGAGAATAGATTCAGTCCCGGGGCCAGACGAGTATCTGGGTCGTTGTTCTGCTCTTGAAACACTGCATTTGGAGAGGTGCCAGTTAAGGGACAAAAATGGTGTTAGAGCGTTGTTTAAGGTGTGTGAAACTGTGACAGAAATTGTTGTCCAGGATTGCTGGGGTTGGGATGATGAAGGTTTCAGCTTGGCTAGCACTTGCAGGTAATTGCTTTGTCCAGTTCTGTATATGTTCAACCAAACCACACCCCGTCTTCCTGTGATTGTCGAAAGTCAATCTATCTCCATGTTTTAGTATCTTAACTGAATTGGTAGTGGTTATTTGGCATGGATAATGCATATGTTAGTTTCAAATGGCTTATTTGCTTAAGCTAGATGATCCACCATAGCAGAGTTCCTACTTTGAACTCTGCTACTTACTAAGTCAGTCAGTTACTGAAGAGAAGTTAATACAATGAGATGAGATGAAATCATAGTACCAACTACCAAGGTTGAATTGGTTTACATGCTTAACTTGCTTCTAGTTAGATAATGCATAAACTGTTCTCTCTATTGCAGGGGGGTAAAGTTACTCTACCTGGAAGGATGCTCGTTGGTGACAACAGAAGGCCTCGAGTCTGTACTTCTAACCTGGAATGAGATTGAACAATTGAAGATAGAGTCTTGTAGGAAAATAAACGACGGTGAGATCTCCCCAGAGCTTTCCAACTTATTCTGTGGTCTCAAAGAGCTTAGATGGAGACCAGATTCCAAATCAATCCTTGCAGCAGGTCTTATGGAGACCGGCATCGGAGAGAAGGGCCGGAAGTTCTTCAGCAAATCATGAATACTGTAATAACTCATCTCACTCGCTCTGTGATCCATGACTGGGTTGACTTTCGCAACTTTGGATCATCAAACTGCATCGTGCTCGCCTTCTCAAGAGCATGTTGATGGATGCGAAGTTTTGGAGTGTCTACCTGACAGTCTTTGCTTTCCTTTACGTGGATTGACTACAAATTAGTGTAGGAATGCAGTTCTTTCGTTGGATCCTCAGCTGGCAGCAGCCCCCTTCCACAACTGGTTAGACTGTAAAGAGAAGAACAGAGCTCTCTTGTGCACAATATCTATATTTAGTCCCTTATTCCCTTTTGTAAATTAGGTGCACATGACAGCAGAAAGGCTCTCAGATAGGCTTCAGCTTATGTACTTTCCTTTCCTCATTCATCATACTGTTGATATATGTAGCAATCAGCAATAACTGTTCAACTTCTCTTGCAATAATGAAGTTACAAATTTTCCCTTTGATCCTCTCTGCTTGCTATCGAGTTGCTATTCCTGAGATTTCTGCGGCAGAAGTACCCTACAAGCACGACTATGATCTGATGTGAAACCCCATTTACAGTCCACATCAAGGATCGAATGGCATTCATTTTGTCGACTCGAGTTTGAAATTCCCACAAATTATATCATAGATTACAAAGAGACATCTGGCTCGAAACTCGTAAAGGTGGTAACTTTATCATTGGGGTCGAAAAGGGGTGTCATTTTCAGTGTAATTTTCGATATATAACCCGCTCTGAATTTACCACCACCACCCATTCCAAAAATAAGTAGGCTACTAAGGCGGAGGCGAAAATATAAAGGCAAAGAGCACATGCATCTGAGAGCAGCAGCAGTGGAGAAATATATCGAATTTCTCGGATTCGGAGTGGAAGTAAGCAAGCTCGGTGATCGTGATTCGTGAATGCTTTCGCCGGAAAAACGGTGCAGCGGAGAAAGGAAGAATTGTGTGTGTGGAAGATGGGTAAAGGGAAGGAAGTGATGATTGAGCCTTCAAGCCCTAGCAGTCACCGCTACGGTGGCGAAGACGATTCCGATCAGCATCAATTCAAATCCTCCTCTCGCAATGCTGCCTCCAAATACGATTTTGTCAAGGTTCCTCACTTCCCGCCGTTACTTTCAGTTTCTTTTGGTGTTTCTTCCCCTATGGCGGCGCCTTGATTGCGGAAGTTGGTTTTTGATTCTTTTTTCAGGTGAAGGTTTGGTTGGGAGATAACGCGGATCATTATTACGTCCTTTCCAGATTCTTGCTCAGCCGAATGTTAACTGTTACAAAGGTCACAACATTGTAACTGAACTGTTCTGGTCTTCCTTCTCTTTTCCTTCTCATGGGCGATTGATAGGCACAGTACTGTTGCCTTCTTCGGTCACCTTTTTGAGCTATGTTTAGTATGAATTTTTTACTGTATCATTGGATCATGAGCATGTGAAGGAAGGCATAGTCTTAACCTGAGTTGTGGGTTGTAAAATACAGTGGTTTCTGCTTTCAGATACCGAATCATGTAGCAGTTAAAATTGCTCTTGAACTCAAGAAGTTGCTGGTTGATAACAGTCTCCTTGACGTGTATGGATTTCCTGACCTTGCTTATTTCTTTGCATTTCTGATTCCCCAAGTACTCCCTGACTTCTGGGATAATGCTGTGGTGTTGCTTTTGCAGTTCTCAGTCGGATTTGGAGGCTAACCTATTTAAGGTATTTATGCCATCCCATTGACTTATCAGTGTCCTATACTACCTTTTGTCTTTGCCAATAATGGAGTAAATGCCAAGAACTGGAGCACTATAGAATCCTCTGAATTTGGATAACCTTCTCCGATTTGTAGCTTATGGAGAGACGAGGATACGGGGAAGACTACATTAATCGATACAAGATGATGACAAGGTGAGTGGTCTTTTTGATGTAGAGTCTGTATTTTATTTTTTTATTTTTTGCCCAAGACGATTACTTTCAGTGGTTAATTGTTATCGACTAGTGTAAGGATGGCGTTTATGCGAACGTAAGCGGGTTAGTTCTATTTGTTACCTTTTAGATTCCACCATCAAAGGGTGCCACTGGTGATTCTTGTTTGTGGAACTGCTTGTGTTGGAAAGTCTACCATAGCTACCCAACTTGCTCAAAGGCTGAATTTGCCCAACGTCTTGCAGGTTCCAACCTTGCAGTTAGCTCTTTTCCTATGCCTTTGCTGCTAAACTTTATTCTATATGAGACTCATCTCTGTTTTTTTTTTAATTACAGACAGAGATGGTTTATGAACTGCTGCGGACATCAACTGAGTACGCCATGCCTATGTTTTAGAATTGCCTTATCATTTACCATCTCATCTGTTTTATCACACAGAGCTATGAGGAAAGATTATCTATTTAACAATGGATTCTTTATTCGTTTCAATATCACCTCCTCCCATTCAAGATCTTTGAACTTGAGACCTTCCATTATGACCTCAAGTTTGTATGAGTTAGCCCTTTAGGATGATTGATGAGTGACCATTACTCTTACTATATTGTTCATTCTCTCTGGAAGTTATTAGTTTCTTTTACTTTATTCCCAAGTCACCATGCTTACAATTCTGAATATTTCTCATACTTCCTGTAGTTCGTTCTTTAGTTGACATGCCCTATTTTCTATGCTTCAGTGCGCCATTATCATCTACTCCTGTTTGGGCTCGGGATTTCAGCTCCCCTGAGGAGTTTATTACTGAGTTTAGTAGAGAATGCAGAATAGTTCGGAAAGGTAGTATATCTTACTTCTCTGCTTTGTGAAACTAAAATGTCAAAGTTTCTTGTTTCTTTGCCTCCTTTTCCCCCCATTATTAGAACTTCTAGTTGTGAATCTCCGGGACCTGGAAGTTCGTCCTGAAATTTTAATAGTTCTCTTTGATTTTCCTGATATACAATTCTGAAACTTTTCGTTTACTAGGTTTGGCTGGTGACTTAAAGAAAGCAATGAAAGATGGAAAACCAATTATAATTGAGGTATCTCTACTTGTTGAATAGTTGGTCAATGGTTTTGCTGCATAGCTCTTTAAAACACCCGTAGCTTTTCCTGATGTCTTTTGCTACCATCCTATGTGCACACATTTGACGCAAATAATAACAGGGGATACATCTTGACCCAAGTATTTATTTGATGGATGAAGACAACAAGACACCAGCTTCTGCACCCGAAAAAACTGGAGTGACAACTCCATTCTCTGTGGAAAAATCAACGTTAGGGGTTGATCCCTTGGGCAAAACGGAAGACAGTAGTCCTTCTGTTAGTGACATTCATGCCCACAGTATAAATGGCTCTCCTGAGAACGAAAATGCAGAAGAAGAAAAATCTGGTGACAAACACTTGGACTACAGGCAAAATGCTCAAGGTTCAAAAAGTATTCATGAAAATGAAGGTTATTCTAATTACCCCCCTAAGAATAATGTCTTCTTACAGATAAATTCAAAACTTACGTCTGGAACTAATGTCTACGGTGACTTTGGTACTTTGCCATTTCACCTAAATGTTTCCCCCACAGTTGGCTCTACTAAAGTTGCAGGAGAAGAGAAAAACCTTTCTATTAAGAGAGCAAAATCTGGTGGAGATCCGATAATTATACCCATAGTTCTGAAGATGGCTGAGTTTGACCATAAGGTTTTTACCTTTCTTCTGAACCATTGCAATTTGCTTTTGCTTTTTTTTTTTTGTGGGTACTTTACTATCTTTTTGCTGAAGCTCTCCCCCTTCTCGGGCAGGCATTACTGGAGGAGTGGATCTCTGCTCGTATACCCAGTGATAGATACCAAGTTAAGGTATTAAAGATTCTTGTTTCTCAATTTTAAACCTGACCAAGGAGTCACACGAATTTGTGAATTCACATGTAAATGACATTTACCTGAATATGCTCTTTGACTCATGAGGGAGGAGCTCAAAAAAAAAAAAAAAAAAAAAAAATACAGAAAAGGACTCTTCGTTATATACGTCATCATGTGTGAACCAATAGTGTCAATAAAATTCGATTTCGGTTTCCCTTTGATTCTTGGGTATCTTTGTCGTGGCTATTTCAGTGATCTATGCAAGTCTGTGTGGTTTGACAGTGATTGTGCCTCTATTGTGCTCATACTATTGACATATTTCAGGATAAAGACAGGCTAATTGCCAATTTGAAAACTCTTCAGGACTATCTCTGCTCTTTCACTTCGCAGGTTTGTTGATTGTCACACGTCTATGCATCTCCAGTTGAAGCCGTTGGTAGCGTTTTAACAGTTTTCTTCATTTCTTCTCTGAACAGGGTTTGACCGTTGCTAATATATCTGCCACAACCTTCCCTCAAACACTGGATTGGCTCCACGGCTATCTTCTTCAGGTAACTTTACCGTTGCAAATCTGCTGTATCTGCTTCATAGCATGTTTTGCATTTCCAGCAACCCTTTGGATATACCTATTACTCTCATATTCTTAATGAATAGATATGCTTTCTCTTAGTGACTAACTCATCCGCTTGCTAATTGATTCCACCTTCCAGTGTATCGAGCAAGGGATTTCACCAGTTTCCAGTGAAAATGACAGGCAAAGCAGCTGAAAATTGAAATACATGCAGAGCAGCTTGGCAGTAACAGGTATGAAGTTGGGCCTCATCGATTGGTTTGACTTTCGAGAGAAACCTTTCAACAATGCATCTCTGCTTGGCAGCCTGTATGAATGGCTTAGTCGTGTTGTTTCTCTTGTCCATTGAACTCTTGCTTCCCTTAAAAAAATACTGTAATTTCTCCAACTGAGATGAACTTGTAGCTTTGTGGTTCTCATGATTCCTGCATTAGCCTCTGCATATCGCTCTTCTTCATGCTATTTTGTCCCACGTATTGCTCGTTTAACCAATTAGGATTTTGATCTTTATCACTTCAAAGCCACTTCTCACAAGAACGTTTTGCAGTCGATGCAGAGTGTTGAAGAAGAATGTCTTGCTGCAGGTGGCTTCCGAAGCAATTAAACCTTGCTCCGGAAGGAAACCTAATTGAGACCATTACCCTCTGAAAGGACCCATTTGGCAACAGCCTGAAGTGCAAGAAGGGCTGTCAGTTGGGCGAGAAGCGGTGAAACGTGGTAGTTTAATACCTTATGCAGCCTCTGCAGGCAAAACAAAGATAAATTTTTTTCGGCGGGAAGAAAGGATCACTATATGTTCCGATTTCACTATGATCAAGTGAGGAGTAACAAAGACTATATATGTAGTTTTGTGTACAAATTGTTGCCAAGGATTGTGACTTTTCAGTCGCGAACTAGACGTACTTGAGTCGACTCGAATACAAACAGATCAGTAATGGTGCCCCCACTTGTTCTGTAACACCATCAAATCTCGTAATCCCACAGCTCTTCGAGCGACTTGTACGGGCTGGTTGTGTCATTGACAAGGAACTCTCCTCTCATGATCTTCCACTCTTGCAGCCCGTCGATGTCGTCGATGTCTCCGTCGTCGAGTTCCAGGTTGATCGCCTCCATGTTCTCTCTAATCCTCCTCTGGTTGAAGCTCTTCACCACCACACTGACTCCCTTCGCGAGCCCCCACTGAAGGGCGACCTGGGCCGGGGTGGCGCCGTGTTTGTGGGCTATGGACTGGACTATTGGGCTTTCCACTACCGCCGTGGATCCCCATGCGTTTCCAGGCCCGCCCAGCGGTGAGTAGGCGCTCACGTGGATCTTGTGCTCCCCGCACACTTCCCTCAGCCTGCTTTGCCTCCACATCGGGTGCATTTCCACCTGTACACCCAAAAAAATATTAAATTTAAATCCTAATGATTATTTTTAGACGTTTTGACATAGGACGTGTCAAGTTTCTACGGCTTTGACTTTTTGAGAGAGAAAAAAAAATTCTGAAGTCAATTGACCTTTTTTATTAGTTTTTAATGGAATAATTTCTGAATTTGGGGACTGGGGAGAGGTATCTAATCTACCTGGTTAACAGCAGGAGGGATGGAGGCAAAATCGAGCAAGGCTTCGATTTTGGCCGTGGAGAAGTTGCTGACGCCGATGCTGCGGCAGAGGCCCAATTCGATGCACTGCTCCATTCCGGCCCAAGTGGACTCCAGGTCCAAATCCTCGAACTCGCTCTCTTCGGGCATTGGGTTGCAGGCCCAAGGCTTGAGCTTCACTGGCCAGTGGACCAAGTACAGGTCCAGATACTCCATCCTCAAATTCCTACACAATCCCGGAAAAAAGATATGAAAACATGGTAAAAGATTTCGGTGGGGTTGATTCCGGGGATCAATTCCCCAGATGGCCACCGCAGAAAATAAGATTTGGTGAATATAATCGATGATCATCGGCAATTGTGTGATCGGAAATTAAGTAATAATAATGCTTAATTAATTAATTACTTGAGAGTGCGGCGGAGGGCGGAGACAGGGTCGTGGTGGTCGCTGCCCCAGAGTTTGGAAGTGACGAAGACGTCCTCCCTCGCGACTTTCCCCTGGTGGAACGCGTCGGCGAGTGCGGCACCGACGGCAGGCTCGGATCCGTATATCTTGGCCGTGTCGAAATGGCGGTAACCCATCTGCGCGCGCCATGCAAAATTTTTGTTGTTGTTGTTGTTGGTACCAAATCATGTTCACATGTATAAACAAATAATGCTTTCATGCATGGAGGAAAGAAAGATGCGTACCTGAAGGGCGAGATGGATGGCCTGTTGGGTGGTGTAGGAGTCGTTCTGGTAGGAGTAGGTGCCGAGGCCGATGACCGGCATTCTCGTGCCGTTGTTCAGCCTCACCTCTCTCACTAAGCTGCTCCTCATCGTTTTTTCTCTTTGTTTTTTTTTTTGTTTGTTTGTTCTCTTGTTGCGGTGGTGAAGAGAAGGTAATGTTGGGAGGTATATATATAGGGAGCGGCGGCGGGGGGAAGGTAGGTCAACTTGCTTTGTTTATTTGGTGGGGTTGGAGGGAGGAGAATAAACTAAAAAAAACTAAGTGAGTTTTTGGGGTGGTGGAATATTATCAGTTAAATATTAACGGGGAGAGTGATGAAGCAGGTGGTACAAGTATCAATGAGGAGGATCTTCCATGTCTCTTGGGATTTCATTGGGTTGGCCCCGGCCACCTCCGACCCGACCCGACACCCCACATTTCCTTTCTTTTCATCTCTTCTCAACACAAACCAGCTTCCTACCATACATCCTCTCTTTCTCTATCTCCTTGGGAGAATGTGGATAATGGTAACAAATGGGTGCAATTACGAATGATGTGACGCTAGCAAATTAATTTTAAATGTTAAAATTTGATTAGGCTAGCGATGAATACACAATTAATTAACACAAGAAGAGTTTGACAATACATGGTATTATACTCCAATTGTTATTGGTTAAAATCTATAGATCTTAATCCTATTAATATCATACACTAATATCGGTTTAATTAGAAATATAGTCGATGGTTATGGTTTTTCAGAATATATTCAACATATAATATGCACAATCTTAGTGTTTGAGGTCTGTGATTTAGATGATTAATGAAGAATTAGAGTTCAGTCATCAAGGGTTAGAGTATATATAGTATCATCACTCAAAATCCGGTTAATTCGAGATCTAGATCTAACATTTTCTTATCAAGAGTATGTGGTACCCCATATTTACTCTGGGGTAACCGCTAGAAGGCACTATATATATATGGGCTCTATCAAACATTGAGTAAAATCAAAGATATGACATATCCATAAGTAGGAAAATGATACATAAACCTTGAATTGACTGGCGTTTGGGACATGGTATTATAATCAACCCCTTATAGATTAAAATCTAGGTCTTAAGTTTATAATTCTCATACACTAAAATCAATTTAATTATAAACAAAAATCGATGATCATAATTAGAAACAAAAATCTCATACACTAGGTCTTAGTGTTTAATTAAGTTCTATGATTCATATAATTAAGACATAGTTAGGTTCACTCATAGAGAGTTAAGGTATAGTATTATACCCAAAATTTATTAATCGAAGCCTAAACAATGTTTTCATGCTAAATGTATGTGGTACCCTAAATTTTACCAAAGGTACGATATACTACACTATATATATGCCTCCCATATATGTGAAGTAACTTGGCACTAACTTAGAGTTTTTATACAAGAGTGTCCTGAATCATGGTGGTGGAGAGGATGCTCCTAACTCCAAAGGGAGTTTTGGCAAGAAACCATGAATCAAATTCGAATCAGAACCCTAGCCTTACACATTTTTACAATTCCAACACCTCTCGATTCAACCGATTTTTTTTTATCTTTCTATAATAACTCTAAAAGATTGACCTAATAATAATGTGAGAATGATATTGTTGCCCCGATTCCGCACCTTAACCCATTAAAACACATTAAATGTTGCACTACGTACTACTTGTCACCAAAGCTCTCAATGTTCCTCTCACATTTGAATGGTTCAAACCACCTTCAACATACATACACCAATTACATATACATATATCACTTATAAAAAAAAAGTTTGCACTACTTCAAAAAAAAAGGGGGGGGGGGGGGGGGGGGGGGGAGGGAGAGCTAGGCTTGAACATTTCTTCATATTCGATGGTGGTTTCTTTAATGGGGTTGAGTTGACTTATTATTGAGAGATAATTAAGTTGTGTGCGTATGGAAGATACACTCATTTAATAAGGTGGCCAGGGGCTGTTGACATGCTTCGTATAAGTCAAACCTGCAGCTAGGGTTTCAGTTTATTCCTATAGTTTAGGTAATGGAATGGTCATTAGCGTACTTGTTTAGCATTACTCGATCGTTTTCTGTTGCTTTCATTTGTTTTTTTATTATTATTTATTTACTATTTAATGCTAGCTCCGTGGACTTTTTGCAATGGAGTTTTGACTTTTTGTTTATATGTATGTATCTACGAATTATAACTAGAACCGGAAGCCGTTGAGTTCCATCCATCCTGTCATTCTCGTTGCTTCTGATGCACTGCATTTTGTTGTGCTTCGAGATTTGGTCGGCATATTCTCCTGTTAAATAAAGCCAAACCGAAACTGGTTTTTTTTCGAAACGCCCCTTGAGTTATATCCACGTACATCTGTAATTAACTATCGTATAAATGTTATTATAACTTAATATTAAGACTCTTAACAAATTAGAATGTTAGTTGTCAGCATTTGTTTGAATATTAGGTTTTAGTTGTCAGAATTACTAGAAATTTTATGGACACGTACTGATAGATTTGACCTTATAATGGCCATAAGGTGAATTTTAGAAGTTGTATATATACCGAGCAAATTAAAAAAATAATTAACAAATGTTTGTTAACATACATTTAAGGCCGAAGATCCTTTTGATGTGAACCGGATGAACAAGATGACGATTATGAGACCATTCACATAGTTGCGATTGCAAAACCAATTGCATAAGTTGTCTATGTTGTTATCTGGTCAAATTATGCCATACATCTCATCTTAATTTCATTGCATCTACAATAACGAAATTGACTTGCAGTTGCATGTGGTTCAAACTTATGCTTACATTATGATAAAAGAAAGAAAAGGGGAATGAAATGAAATAAATAGAGAATCCCACTACATGAGCCCACCATTCTCCATTTTTAGGTAATTTTGGCTTTTGTATTTTTACAAGATTGCATATGTGCAATGACTTACCATATTAATGCAATTGGTTTTGCAATTGTAAAATTTGATATTATATAATCTTGCTATTAGAAATACAAAACCGATTTGAATGATCTGAGTGAGTATACACCTAAAATCAAGGGTGCACGAGAGATGCACGAATTAGCTAGTAAAAAATAAAGATGCCTTGTCTAAGGATAAAACCTAGAGATTAGATTTATATGTACCACAACATACCGTTTGTAAATAACTATAATGATGAATTTTTGTCAAAAATAGTAGAGGCATTACACAAAGTTTATCAAATACCGTATTTGTTAATTTTATTCTCATAATACAACTAGTATTGAATTTGAAGATTACATGTTCGAATTCGTTAAATAATACCTAATTGTAAAAAATAATATATTTCATCCTTATAAAAAAAATTCCCATCATTCATAAATTTTTTTTTCCCATCATACAGAAGTTTGGCGAAAAACATTTTCAGCTGTTTGGCACAAATAGCTGTCGGGTAAGCAAAAACACTTCCAGCCACAATCTTTTTCTTACGGGTAAAGCGTTTTAAGCGAAAATTCTTCCAACCACAATGGTTTTGGTGCAAAGCGGTTTTGGTCGAAAATTGTGTAAGCCTCTTTAAATCAAACGAAGTAATATAGAGAAAAATTATATATGACCAAGTCAAAGATAGAAGAAGTCAAGTAGATATATTATGGTGGCGGTGGCACAACCCACATAAATGATACAGACACCAAATTTTGGGACAGAAATGCTGGAACTGATATGATATAGAGAATAAATACAATATAGGTTTCATTCAAATGGTTACAGGATAATAATTAAATCAATTAAATTTAAATTCTATTAACATGAAATACAATATCATAATCAAACCACTCAAACTAATGCAACAATCAAATTAACCTAACTAAATTTTAAATTGGTTTGGTTAATTGGTTAACCGAGTTAGCCAATATAACATAACATCATCATTACGGGAGGAAAAAAATCTCATTTTGATGCACCAATCTATAATTCATATAATAAATAAAACATAACAATCAACATATAATTAACCCTAGTGATGGCAATTTGAACCCTCCCTGCCGATGCCGGGTATTACCCGACCCGCAATAGCGTGGGCCGGGACATGGTTACTACTTTCGATCTATATATCACATCCGTTCTTGATCCACCGTACCTCGCTTTTATCTCAATATTTATACTATTTTGACTTATTCTAACTCATATTTCAACCAATTATACTCTAGAATCTAGATATGTGTAGGACATTATCTTTTAACGAACTGGACTCCATTAGCCTACTTACTATCTCTATTTTTGTTTTATCTCTACAAAATAAACGTTTTCTTGAAATAGTATATAATTAATGGGTCAACCTGCCCTAACTTACACTTGTGCGTGTATTATCCGATCTGACCTATACTTGGTGCGGGACGAATATATGTATTGAGGTACCCGCCATGCGCCACCTTATTTCTCATCATCACTAGTTAACCCTTAACATAAATACATACAACAAATATAAGTATCTTACCGTTATTATAAGTAGATCACCTAACAAAATATATGTCAATAGTATGAGGTTAATGAATTGGATGTGTCTATATAATTGTCTTAGTAGCTGAGCAATTATCATAGGCTAAGAAAATCTTCACTTTCAGGTTTTCATCTAGCATAATGTATCAGCTTATCTAAATTAGGTGCTCATATTTTGTTGTCTACACTTTACAAGAATAAATATAGTAGAAGAAAAATTATGAGCTTTAATTTTTATGGGTCCAAAAGAGAAGAATGATGCTCTTAAGTGGTTATGCAAAGTTTTAAGTATTTGTATAACATATTAAGTAGGGGCGAAGCGAGCTTGTTGTGGCCCCCGGAAATTCCAGGAACTAATATATAACGTGTAGTGATCCATGCAAACAATGTTTCTATTTGGCTTAGGTGGTTGGTAAGTCTGATTTGCACAAATTCAGTGCTGAGTTCGATACCCATTGAACTCATGCTTTCATTTTATGCTGTATTTCAATTATATATCTCATATTTATATATCATTCAGGTATTTATTATGTTGTTTTAGGTATTTAATGCTTTTGTTTTGAAAATTTTTAGTTTTCAAATATACGTTTGATAAAATATAGCCTAGATTGTAAGATGTATTTCCATTTTTATTGTTGGACAAGAGGCCAATAAAATTTTAATTCATGCTTTTTGAT